TGGATATAAAAATGAATGTTGGATTGTTCTGTTTTCTCTGATACAGGGCCTTTCATTTGTTGGGTTTGCGTTTTCTCTCTCATGCTGTAGGCCCCTCTCATGTATTTGGTGACTTATGGTGGTAAGCTCAACTTCCGTGGGAGATTTCTGCAGACATCCATCTGTCACTGACCTCAGGAACCATGTCTGTGTTGGTTTCCCTTGAGGGGGCTATGGTGGACTCCCACACTATAGCCACTGTGGTTTCTCAGTACTGTGGACAGAATGTTTTGAGGGAGAGATGCGCAAAGTTCCAGGCTGAGCATCCCTTCTTTGCAGAGTCTCCACCCGCCACTGCACCCAGCACACACATCATGACTACAGCCAGGAGGGAATAGCTGCCTTTCCCCTTCCGGTTCCCAAGATTATTAGACCTTCCTTTAAGACACTGTGAAAAAAGAAGTATGTACGAGAGGCTGCATATCAACATTATTGGGTGAAAAGGAACCTGTTTGTTATTAGACAGGCAAAACCAGTGCTGTCTCCCAGGTAGCCTTTAATGTCCCATACCAGAGGCCTTCTCCAGTTTTTGATAATAATGGTTGACATTTACATAGCATTTAGCATGTGCCAGAAGCTGTTCTAAGCACGTGGCATATATTAACTCATGTATTTCTCACAACTCTTAATATCCCCACCTTGCAGATGGGTTTACAGAGGTTGAATAACTTCTGGATTATTCAATGTTTTATTTTGAGCAACATCTTCAAAACAAAGACGATATGAAGGAATGCGCAACAAGAGAAACTGCACACACACACACACACACACACACACACACACACACACACCATTTAACTCAAACAGGTTTCACTCATTTATTTCCTTCAACAAGCCAAACGATGCCAGCAGGCAAGAGGAGTCAGCGCCTGGAGAAGCGGGTGGAATCCTGTTCTGGGATGGACTAGTGCTTCTCGCTCCCTCGGCTGCCACTTATTTCCAGCCAGTAGGTCTGGTGATCTCTGCTCCCAGAGTTCTTTGCTCCAATCTCCACTGGAGGTAAGAGATGGCTCACCATCACTATGTGAGAGCCTGCAACCCCTGACAGTCGCAGGAATCAACACGCAACAAGGCTTGGCTGGCTGGCCCTGTGTTCTGACTGGGGAGGCTGAGCCCTCCAGGTGTGCCTCACAATCTATTGGTTAGCAGCGGCATCAGCCCCATTCTGATTGGCTACATGCAAAGTTTCGTAAGCCATCATTTCATATTACATCATTACATATGCATTATTGGCTAGTTATATCATTCCTCATCAATATATTCCAGAACTTTGGGAACTTTTCTAAACATGTTTATGAACTTGGGAACTTTTCTAAACTTGTTTATGACCAGGTATTTATCTTTTTTGAGTGAGGAAGCCACATGCTAACCCTTAATGAGGTATATATGTACGATTTTAATTACTTGTGGAAAAAATGTTTACAAGAAATACTTTGGGTGGGAAAGCTAGCTTACCATTTTTAAAGTACAGCAAGTAGGTTTTTATTTATCCCTGTTAGAACATAGGGTGGGCCATCCTTTAATCACACACAGCTAGCCAGTGACAAAGCTAGAATTCATATCCAAGCAGTCTAAATGCAGAATCCACATTCTTAAATACTGTCTTATATTTATATTGCCTCTCTGCCTGGAACTAACACTCCTGGCTCAACTCAATACTCCTCCCAAGTGTACAGACCATACTTGGAGAAAAGCCAAGTTATCAAAAGGGCAGACTACGGATGTCTTGTGAGCAACATGCAGAGGACCCTGCTGTGTAAAACATATAAAGCTACTGAAAATTTCCAGGGGGGGGGATGCTAATAAACTAATATATAGGGGATCTTTAAATTACTGTAATTTTCCTGCCTTGTAATAGTTGCTTTGCTTTTTAAATAAAATTTTCTCTGATACAATGTGGTTGGCATGATTGCAGCTGTTGGAATTATTGCCCACCTATAGCTTTACAAAAAAAGATTCTCCTGGGTTTCTGGATGAAACTTCAGCTAAAAATTCTCTTAGCTTAGTAGTAATATCTTCATAGAGATGTCTGGCCCTTTGGCACCATGGGCATTAAATGACATAAGGATAACATTATCTTTTTCTAAGGCCCAGGTGAGGAAATGGCACTGCCTCAGCCAAACTATAGCTTTAGCTTGGGCTGTGGTTGCAGAAGAGGCATTGCACAGAGCATCAAACAATAAGTGGACTTAGTAGATTGGAGCCACTACCAGTCAACGTGAATGTGGAGCAGATTACTGGGAAGCATATGAATGGAATAAACACACCAAGTCTAATTGAAATATGGAGACTGCACAAGTTCACGATTGTGTAATTTACGAAGTGTGTCCTTTGGGGGAAAAACAAACATCACAACACGGTCCAGAAGGTGAGTGACCTTTGAGTTGGTGGCTCTTTCCTTTGTATCAACAACATGGCTTAAGAGAGTGCTATGTGCTCACATTTTTATACCACTTGGACATGATTTTTCTGAAAACATTTTTGAAAATGGTAAGATGCTACACAAATTTGATCTACAACAATTATTGGAAACAGTCAGGGCCCGTATGAAATCTTGAATTTTCAGATGAAGAAACAATTCAACCTGATTTTTCTCTGCCTAAGATTCCTGTTACATGTAAAATAGTGGCTATTTATTTCTAGTCATTATCTTTGTCGTAAAGGAAGTTGTGAGGAGACAGCTACCGATAGTGGCTATTAACACTTTATGTATGACACGTTAGAGCATGAAACTAACAATCAAGGTGTGCTTACAAAACACCCAGGACTTTTAATCCTCACGACAATGCTACAGTAAAATCAGAATTTTAGAATGACAGAGCTGAAGCATATCTACCAAGACTAGCCAACTAGTAATCATTAGAGATGTGATTCAATCCCAGGTTTGTTTTACTATAAGCTTTGCTCTTTTCACGAGGGTACAGTGCATCCCTCATGGAATTGTTTAGCTATAAAAGATCAGGTAATGGTATCTGCTTTTTCATGTTTAGAGCTCAACGTTAGTCCATATAAACCCAAACCTTATAAATACTTAATGTTAAGTACTTTTACTACTTTCCAGTGGAGGGGAAAAAAGCAATTTCCAATTGATTGAACGCATTTTCAGACACAGTTTACCAGTAGAATAGTTTCAGGCAATTCAGCCTTTTTATCTCAACCAGCAGAAACTTTAAAATTTATTTTGTACTGATAAACAGACATGCTAGATGCATTTTGAAATCGGGTGAACATTACTACTTCTTGTGATCTATGAGTAACTGGCCATCAGGGTACCCAGTGAGATAATTCCTATGTTTCCCATTCAGGGAGAAGGTCATAGTCAAGGGGGCACAAGGTGAGTTATGGGCATCTAATGCATCATGTTGATTCACCCCCACTCCTCAATGCCACCCTCTGTTGTGCATTATGATTCAAAACCAGGAGAATGTGTGTTGTGGACAGATTTTAGTTACACCGATGGAGTCTTCCTATCCAGCCACACATTTGTCAATATGTGAACAATAGCACAAATTTATAAAACACATGGATAATGTTAGAGTTATAATCTGCAACCCCAGACTAGATGACAATAAATGTCACTCATAATATTATGTTCCTGACCTTGTTGTATTTAGATGGTAGTCCTAAAGAAACTTACCTATTTATGTGGATGGGAATATTAGCATCACACTTATATTTCATAATGAACATGTGAAAGAAAAATTTATCACATAGTTTGGTATTTTGCAAAGCGAAATTTCTACTTGACCCATCTAAATCTTGGGTTTTTCTTAAGACACAGAAGCTCCATTTGTGTCCACTCTCTTGGAATAATGCTGTTTGTCTAAATTTCCAAAATACCTAGTTTACTATTAAACAGGAGGCAGGAAATGCAGACCTTACTGAGATTATCCCATTCATTGGTACATTTCTTTTGATGGTAGACAAAAAAAGTAGGTATAGGCAGAGGAAAAAGAGATAAAGTAATTGCTGAAGAATGGCTTCTGAAGGTGAGTGATGGATGGAGAGCAGTCAGGTTTTTATCTTAGTTTGGGAGGGGGAGGGAGGAGGGATGAGAGGAACAGACATGAGAAGGTCAGCTAAAAAGAATTCAAAAGAAAGGAACATATTCGTAATTATTTGGGTCAAGCTTAAGGTGAGAAATAAAAGTACAGAGATAATAGAATAGAAAAAACCCACAATTTTAATAGTTAACATTTATTGAACTATTAATTCCATTTTGCAGAGGGGAACCTGAGACACAGAGGGGTTAAATAGTTTGTCCAAATTTACACAGCTCGTTCACGACAGAGCTTGAATTTTAATCCTGGCAATCCGAACCACTATTTTAAAATGGGATATTAACGAAGTACAATACATAAAGTGAGAACTCTCATAGAGAAGGGATAGAGAGACCAAGGGATTAACTGGGGGGGACGGGGAGGGGAAAAAGTCTGCATTTCAAATAAAATTTACCAATGGGCTAATTATAGTTGTGCTTTATTAACGTACGGAGCACTCTGTATATGTTAGCTCATTTAATCCCGCTAACAATTCTGTGAGGTAGATACTAGTCCATTTTTCAGACAAGGGCACTTGATATTTGATAAACGACACATACCTTGCACAGAGTTCCACCTCAATAGCAGGCTCTGGAGCAAGAAAAGGAAGACTGAAGAAGACCTGGCAACTGAACGGAACAGGGCAAGGTAAGCAGGCTGAAAAGTGAGAAAGGCAGGAAAAGCTTCCCGTTTAAGCCTAGGATGGCTCCAGCTTTCAAATCTCCCCGGCCAGCCCGCCAAGGAGTCACAAAGCCCGCCCCTCAGCTACAGGGCGACGCCCCCTTCCGCGGCGGTTCTCGGAGCTCCCAATACTTCCCGCCCACTCTCTGACCCCGCCCACCGCTCCCAGCATCATTTCCTGTGCGCTGGGTGCTAATTGGTCCAGCAGTCGGAAGTGAGGGCGGGCGGTGGGGCCGTTGCCGCAGTGACAGTGCTGGGGGAGTCTGAAGATGGCGGCGTCGCGTCGCTCTCAGCATCATCACCACCATCATCAACAACAGCTCCAGCCCGCCCCAGGGGCTTCGGCGCCGCCGCCGCCACCTCCCCCCCCACTCAGCCCCGGCCTGGCCCCGGGGACCACGCCAGCCTCCCCTACGGTGGGTGGCCTGGCCCCCTTCGCCTCCCCGCGGCACGGCCTAGCGCTGCCGGAGGGGGATGGCAGTCGGGATCCGCCCGACAGGCCCCGATCCCCGGACCCGGTTGACAGTACCAGCTGTTGCAGTACCACGAGCACAGTCTGTACCGTCACCGCCGCTCCCGTGGTCCCGGCTCTTCCTGCCTCATCTGCCGTCGGGGTCGCTCCCAGCCCAGCCGGCGGTGGCAGTAACAATTCACCGTCGTCCTCTTCTTCCCCGACTTCTTCCTCATCTTCCTCTCCATCCTCCCCCGGATCGAGCTTGTCGGAGAGCCCCGAGGCGGCCGGAGTTAGCACCACAGCAACATTGGGACCTGGGGCAGCAGGACCTGGGCCAGGGGTCCCAGCAGTGAGCGGGGCCCTCCGGGAACTGTTGGAGGCCTGTCGCAATGGGGACGTGTCCCGGGTAAAGAGGCTGGTGGACGCGGCAAACGTGAATGCTAAGGACATGGCCGGCCGGAAGTCTTCTCCCCTGCACTTCGCTGCAGGTCAGAGACTTTGAATTGTTTATTAAGGGTTTTGGTGTTGGGGACGGGGGTCCGGGTCGGGAAAGAAAACAAGTTATTATGATGGAACAATGGGGGCGTGGTTATGGTTCTTCAACACGTCTCGGGAAGACTTGAGGTTCCTTTCTTTAGGTGGTGCCTGGGTAACGGGGGGCGTGGTAGGGGAACGTGTGAATCCATTCTTTTTAGTGTTTGCACAGTGATCCTTGTACTCATCCCCAAACTCCTTTACTGTTACTCAGGATATGGGTATACTTAAACTTTTTCAGTTACGAGTGTGCAGGAATAAAGTTAGATCTGAACAGTCTTAGAGTAGTTTTGTCGTTTGTTTGCTAGTTTATTTCGTTTTTGCGAGAGTAGGTCCCAGGAGGACAGTGTAGACCAAAAGAAGTTTAATGTAACTCGACAAGTGTAGAAGTAGCTATCGTAGTCTTCTTAGTGGGCCAATGAGAGACATAAATGAAGTTAGTGAAACTTTCCCCCCTTTTGCAAGGAGTTTACAGTCCAGTTGGGTAGATCGAAAGGTGCCTGTATGAAACAACTGGAGAAGACTATTTGGATGCATTATGTGATGGCGGAAGAAATATAGGCTTTGAAGTTATGGACACTGCTGTTTGTTAGTTTTGCAACAGACAATTTACCTTATCTCAATTGCCTCCATTTTCTCTTGGGCAAAAGTGATATACTGAGGTTGTGTGAGGATTTAATGAGAAGCATCTGGCGCGTAAGTTCTCCCCCCAGAATGCTAATTCCTAAACACTGGAGCACTACACACTTTTGTCTTTTTTTTTTTGGAGCAAGTAGTTGACTATTTTCTTTTAGAAACACATAACATATTTTTATAAAATACAGAGAAATATAAAACAAAAAGGACCATAATCTCACTGCCTAGATACCTACTATTGATATTTTAAAAAATAAAGGTAAGGCTTTCCCTGGTGGCGCAGTGGTTAAGAATCTGCCTGCCAATGCAGGGGACACGGGTTTGAGCCCTGGTCTGGGAAGATTCCACATGCTGTGGAGCAACTAAGCCCATGCGACTGCCCTCTAGAGCCTGCGGGCCACAACTACTGAGCCCGCACGCCTAGAGCCCGTGCTCCTCAACAAGAGAAGCCACCGCAGTGAGAAGCCCACACGCCACAACAAAGAGTAGCGCCCTCTCTCTGCAAATAGAGAAAGCCCGCGCACAGCAACAAAGACCCAACTCAGACAATAAATAAATAATTTTATAAATTAAAAAAAATAAAGGTAATGTTATATACATTAGAAACACTACATTAAAAATGTATATGTTGTATGTACATTGTAAAATTAATGTAGTATAGAAATATATACAATGAAAAAGCACCACGTACACACACACAAACATCAGAGGTAATACCCTGAAGATTACTTCTGCTAAGTTTCTCCTTCAGTTTTTTCTGTTAATGGTAAAGCATATGTTAAACTTACTAAATACATTATTTATTTTTACCACAACTTGGAAAATATTTTTATCTTCATTTTATAGATGACACAAGTGGAGCACATACTGCTTAAATAAGCCCACGTTCACTAGAAGTAGTGGAACCTGGATTTAAACTTTGATTTTAGAATTTGTGAAATCAAGTTTAAACAATTATAACATACCAAGTTTAAGGTCACTTTTCTTTTTTGTGAGTAATTTTGATGGAGTTTCTACTTTGGCAGTGTTTGGGGGGAAGAAGTAATTGGGGGCATATACTCCAGGAATAGTGTTCACACATTTTATTTTTTGCAGCCCATACTTAGCAGTATATTGTCACCCACACACAAACTGAGTCAAAATTTCAGGAAACAATTCTATCCCTTGCTACATGTGTTGCACTCTGATATTTTATATCCTATTCCATTTCCTTTCTTACAAATGCTGTTTGTGATCCCATTAATGAGTCATGATCAACAGTATGAGAAACACTTACAGGAAATCATTATTAGATGGCTGGGTCCATTCTTGAAATGTAGCCACTACTGTTAGGAATGTAGTGAATTGAGTCATAAACAGGCTTCCATTTAAGTAGATGCATGCTCACGGTGTTGCTTATTTTAGATGAAAAATCATTTCTTTTTCTTTAGGCCAAATGATGGATCTATAATGAATGAAACGAGACCTTTTGCTTTTGCAGACTTTATTCCATATTTGACTATTTTAACACATTGTTTCACAGATCTTGTCATTTCTCACAATATTGCATTACAAGTCATCACTAACAGGTGATAGCTAGTTATATTAATTTGGGTAATAATGTACTTATTTAGGATTAGTCACACATAAAATAGTGCTTATCTCCCAAATCACATATTCTGTTTGCCACAATAGTTACTTTATATTCTGTTTTAGTTTTATGTGTACCCAGATAAGCTAGAAGACAAACAGTAAAACAGCCCTGTAATTATGTTGTAGTTATGAGAACCTAATCTTGAACTGGCTTTTTTAGAGAAAAAAAATAATTTTTTTTACTTCAGTGTGGAAAAAAGAACAAAAACAGTAAAACTCTCCATGGTCTAAATGCACAACACCCTGTAGTCAATTTACCATGCTTTCATGTTTGTGTTCCTAGCATTAAAGCATTAAAGCTTTGTTAAATCTAGTCTTCTCCATCATGTGTAGCCTGGATAATTAAAAGTAATTCTCAGTTGACTATTAGTTGGTTAGAATGCTAGTCACTGAATGTCATGGAAGAGCTGTTTTAAAGATAGGAAATTGGTACAGCCCCTTGGATGGAAAGGTTTAAAAATTGTGGTTCTTTTGTTGCACGAATCTTTTATTATTTATCATAGGTTGGTGTTAAACACGGACACAATTTTCAAGTGGCAGGTATTCCTTACCCTTATGGAGCTTCAGTCTAGCGGGGGGAAATTAAATAACAACAACAACAAAACCCCACAAAGTGTATAACCTAGAGTGACAGGAAAAGTACACTATACTCTCTTTTGGAGCAGGCAGTAAGGACTCTTGTCCTGATTTTAGATCATTTAAAGAAGAAGTCTTTCTAAAGAGATTGTTTAAAACAGGGATTTAAAGGATGAGTCCAAGCTAGCCAAGCAAAGATGGGAAGGAAGAATGTTAATTAATGCCTTTATTTCCATTTAAATATAAGTGTAGTTCTATAGAGTGAAATGAAACCATTTTTAAGACCCTCTGAAGTGGTATGAACTCATACTCATATTTAAATCCTTATGCTTTTTTTTTTAACCATAATTCTTTCCAGCAGCAGAATTAAGAATCCTTTCTATCTCACTGTGGATTGTGATAATTATTAGTTTAAAATGTGGCTTAGAGACAGTATTAATAATGGAATCACCCTATCCACAACTAGAAACATAGTCTTCAGTTTCCGCTGTTGATACAGGTTCTTAAAGTACTATTTCTAATACTTTCTTAAGATAGCCATATCAAAATGATCCAGTCTTTTATTGTTGACGAGTTTATATAAGACTTTTTCTTCTACAATTAAGATTCTTGACCCTGGTTTTCTATTGTTCAAAGGATAGTAGTGAAAGCTTTAGAAATAGCATTAATTTAGAACGATATATCTCCTGAGTTCAGTTCCTAGTAGTGACATATTTTTGTTATACGCGGGCCTCTCACTGTTGTGGCCTCTCCCTTTGTGGAGCACAGGCTCCGGACGCACAGGCTCAGCGGCCATGGCTCACGGGCCCAGCCGCTCCGCGGCATGTAGGATCTTCCCGGACCGGGGCACGAACCCGTGTCCCTTGCATTGGCAGGCGGACTCCCAACCAATCCCCCTGATGACGTCTCTTTTTAAAGAAAAGTTCAGATGACGTCTTTATTTAAAAAAAAAAAAAAAAAGGTTTAACGAAGCATTGAATTCTGAAATTTCACGGTATTTACTTTAAATTGAAGAAATTTTGAAATAGGCTTCCTGGTTAACTTTAATGGTTAACATTAATTAACATATGACTTGAATTAGGACATGTAATATGAGGTACTTCAGTATCAAAACCAGCAAAATATGTAGGGCAGTTTTATGCTTTCTTTTGATTTGAGTGGTTTCTATATCAACACACATTTAACTATGTAGAGGTTGCCTGACTCACTTCTTTTTCTCCTGCTTTTTTTCAGCATGTCCATGCTTGTTCCTCCCCCCACTTCACTGTACAAATGTAGTTTCTAGTAAAAAAAAAAAAAAAACACTATGTCCTCTAAACTGTTGCCCATCAGTGGGTAAAAAAATGAGTCAATGCTTCAGTCCTGGAGTGGGAATCTTTCTGTACTTTCTATTGTCTTGCAAGGTCCTTGATTATACTATTTTATTTTTACTATCTTTATTGGAGTATAATTGCTTTACAATGGTGTGTTAGTTTCTGCTTTATAACAAAGTGAATCAGCTGTACGTATGCATATATCCCCATATCCCCTCCCTCTTGTGTTCTCCCTCCCACTCTCCCTCTCCCACCCTCCCTATCCCACCCCTCTAGGTGGTCACAAAGCACCGAGCTCATCTCCCTGTGCTATGCAGCTGCTTCCCTCTAACTATCTATTTTACATTTGGTAGTGTATATAGGTCAATGCTACTCTCTCACTTTGCCCCAGCTTACCCATTCCCCTCCCTGTGTCCTCAAGCCCATTCTCTACGTCTGCGTCTTTATTCCTGTCCTGGCCCTAGGTTCATCAGAACCATTTTTTTTTTTTTTTTAGATTCCATATATATGTGTTAGCATATGATACTTGTTTTTCTCTTTCTGACTTACTTCACTCTGTATGACAGATGCTAGGTCCATCCACCTCACTACAAATAACTCAATTTTGTTTCTTTTTATGGCTGAGTAATATTCCATTGTATATATGTGCCACATCTTCTTTATCCATTCATCTGTCGATGGACACTTAGGTTGCTTGTGTCCATGGCTGGCTATTGTAAATAGAGCTGCAGTGAACATTGTGGTACATGACTCTTTTTGAATTGTGGTTTTCTCAGGGTATATGCCCAGTAGTAGGA